GGGCGCCGCTCTGGAGGCCGGGTAAGAACCAGATCCCTGACCAGTTTAACCAGAATCCTAACCGGTCTAACCTGGACCCTAACATGTCTAACCAGGATCTGAACTGGCACTTCTGCGGTGACGTCACTCAGGACACTTCTGCGGTGACGTCACTCAGGACACTTCTGCGGTGACGTCACTCAGGACACTTCTGCGGTGACGTCACTCAGGACACTTCTGCGGTGACGTCACTCAGGACACTTCTGCGGTGACGTCACTCAGACTGTGGAGCTCGAGTTTGAGTTTGAGACTCTGGACTTTTATTTTCTCTGTGAAAAATCCCTGGTCTGTCTCTAGTGTCACCTACAGATGATTCAAAACAACCTTCCCCCTGAGCATCTGCTTCAGCCCAAAGAGTTTCAGAGGAGAGTCTAGAGGAGAATCTAAACAGCTCTAGAGGAGGATCTGAACATAATCTGGACAGGTCTAGAGGAGGATCTAAACAGGTCTTTGGTGGGTCTTTTCAGGTTGGTGGACTTCACGCGGCTGCCGTCTCCAACTCCAGAAAACAAAGAGCTGTTTTTTGTGACGAAAGGCTCCAGTCTCCAGCCAGCCTCAGGTCAGTGCACACGTAGACTGTATTTATGAATGGACAGGTGTTCCAAACAGGAAGTGCTCGAGGTGGCTCTTCCAGCTCCTTCTGACTCTGGCTCCAGTGACTTCCATTGGGATCTTGTGGCTCCTCTCTCTGTATCTTCTACTGTGAGCCTCTGCAGTTTTTTTGTTCATTTCTCTATTTTGTCCCTAAATCAAGATCTGAACATAAATAAAAGACCAATCAGACGCCTTCATTCCCCAAGTCACTCCTGTTTGATTGACAGCTTGTGCGTTTCGTAAACCACCTTCCTGCTTTCTGGTGAGAAGGGCCTTAACCCGGACCCTGACCCAGACGGGGACGGAGGGTGTTGCCTTTCTTTACAAATAAGTAAAAATTACATTAAATGATAAAAAAAAAAACATTCAGTTTTAATGAAGTATTTTGTTTAGACACGAAACGGTAAAAAGTGTAAATGTAAACGACAAATCAGGGTCCTGATCCCGGAGCGTCCACACTTATCGTAGTGAGTTAATCTCCACAATGTAGGGGAAGTCATCTATTGACCGCACCTCGCTGATACTCCACCTCGCACCTCTGATACTCCACCTCGCTGATACTCCACCTCGCTGATACTCCACCTCGCTGATACTCCACCTCGATACTCCACCTCTGATACTCCACCTCGTTGATACTCCACCTCGCTGATACTCCACCTCGTTGATTACTCCACCTCGCTGATACTCCACCTCGTTGTTTCTCCTCTGTGCTCCACTTCGCTGTGAACACGCGGCTGCTGCGTCGGCCTGTGGCTTCAGTCAGACTCTCTTTCCTGGAGGCAAAGTTTGTCTTGCGAGCTTCTAGAAGTCGTCAGAGGTTCCAGAGGTTCTATGGACAGTTTTGAATGTTTATCAGAAAATTACTGCTCAGTATTCTGTTTGAAGATAATTTTCAGGACGTTTAGGGCCGGACTCGGGACAGAGCTTTCGATTTGGGGACGTCTGGTCACCTCAATCATGATTCGCTCTTGTGGTTGCTGTCCAGCTGAACACTGTGGAGATGAACACTAACTTAGAACATTCTTTATACATACTATGGTTAGTCCCGGTGGGGTTAGGGTCAGTCCCGGTGGGGTTTGGGTCAGTCCCGGTGGGGTTAGGGTCAGTCCCGGTGGGGTTTGGGTCAGTTCCGGTGGGGTTTGGGTCAGTTCTGGTGGGGTTTGGGTCAGTTCTGGGTCCCGGTGGGGTTTGGGTCAGTCCCGGTGGGGGTTTGGGTCAGTTTGGTGGGGTGGGGTTGTGGTGGGGTTTGGGTCAGTTCCGGTGGGGTTTGGGTCCGGTGGGTTGGTGGGGTTGGTCAGTCCCGGTGGGGTTAGGGTCAGTTCCCGGTGGGGTTTGGGTCAGTTCCTGGTGGGGTTTGGGTCAGTCCCGGTGGGGTTTGGGTCAGTTGGGTGGGGTTTGGGTCAGTCCCGGTGGGGTTAGGGTCAGTTCGGGTGGGGTTTGGGTCAGTTCTGGTGGGGTTTGGGTCAGTCCCGGTGGGGTTTGGGTCAGTTCCGGTGGGGTTTGGGTTAGTCCTGGTGGGGTTAGGGTCAGTTCCGGTGGGGTTTGGGTCAGTCCCGGTGGGGTTGGGTTAGTCCTGGTGGGGTTTGGGTCAGTCCCGGTGGGGTTAGGGTCAGTTCTGGTGAATAATATTACCAAATGCCTTTTGTGCTTCAGGTCTGAGGATGTCACCGAGCTCGTCCTACTCAGACCCAAACGAAGCTAATGATGCTAATGAGGTTAACATCGATGACACCGGCCTCGACTCCACACCCGGAGACGAGCTCGACGAGGACGGGGCGTGGCGTCGTGCGGGGCTCCTCCCCCTTTCCTTTCAGAACCCGGTGTATCACATGACCACGCCTTCGCCGCGGCAACCACCCAGCGAGGCCACGCCCCCCGACCCCTCGCAAGACGCCGCCCCCAAACCCGCCTTCCTCACGCAGATGTCCGACCCCGCCCACTTCCCTGCCGACTCCGCTCCTTTCCAGAAGCCCCTCCCAGACCCCGCCCCTTTCCAAAAAGCCCCTCCCAGACCCCGCCCCTTTCCAGAAGCCCCTCCCAGACCCCGCCCCTTTCCAGAAGCCCCTCCCAGAGCGACTCTCGAGCTCCAGCAGCGGCGACGAGTTCAGAGTCACAGACGCCCCGCTCACAGGTAAAGTTCTGACACCCTCACACTGACCCCACTGACCCCACTGACCCCACTGACCCCAACCACTGACCCCAACCACTGACCCCAACCACTGACCCCAACCACTGACCCCAACCACTGACTGACCAACCACTGACCCCAACCACTGACCCCAACCACTGACCCCACTGACCCCTTAGATCTCACCTGTCGAGGGGTCTGACCCTCACCTGTCTCGAGCTTGTGGCTCTGATACTTCATTTCATATTTATTATTTTAAAAAGCTGCATGAAAATGACAAAAGTAAAAAAATAAAATGAATGAAATCATAAGCAGATAAAGACAGAGGGACCCTCCTGGAGAGAGACAGGATCATGGCTGCCAGGAGCAACACACGCTGAGATCGCGTCCCAGCAGTCCCAATGTTTGTTCTAATCTAAAAAAAACCCAAAACGCTCCGTTCTAAGGTCAGTTTAAATGAATGACCTCCACATCGGTGGATTAGTGGACGTGAATGTAACTTTTCACACACGCGTGAGTACTTTGAGAAGAGGAGACAGCGGTGGGATCCATCGTTATCCACCATGCCAAAGGGGGGATCCAAACGCTTTCGTGAGCAGTTGTCTTCCTCCGACGCGGATGAACAAACTACCTTTACCCCTGCGGATCGTAAGATGTTGCAGATGATGGCTGAACAACTTAAAAAATTTGACATTTTGGACGAACTAAAAAATGAGGTCGTGGAGTTGAAAAAGTCAGTGGAGTTCAACAACAAGCAAATACAGACATGGAAAAGGAACAAGAGACATTAAAAAAACAAGTGGCTGGTTTGACACTTACAACTACCAGCCTGAGAAATGAAAACGAGAAGTTAAAGTTGGAACTGCTGGATCTCCGCTGCAGGAGCATGCGGGACAACCTGCTCATCATGGGGATGGATGAGGCAAAAGGAGAGACTTACGGTTCGGCCGAGACCCTCGTCAGGACTTTCCTGCAGGAGCAACTCGGATTCACGGAGGAAAGTGCAAGGAAGATCCAACTTGAGCGGGAACATAGACTGGGACAGCGAAAGGAGCAAGGTGAACCGAGACCCGTGGTCGTAAAGTTCGCTAGCTCCAAGGGAAAAGATGAAGTGTTTGCCTTGTCTAAAAAGTTGAAAGGCACCGGATTCTTCATGACAAGTCGATATCCCACCGAGGTTGTTGAAAAGCGACGTAAGTTAGTTCCAGTTATGAAATCCTTTAGGCAAAAAGGGCAGAAAGTCCGTCTCATAGTGGATAAACTGTATGTGAATGGTGAACTGCACAGGCATGATGAACAATAACAAAGTCGCATAGTGATTACGTCATCACAATATTGCTATGGTAACGACTATACAGACTTGACAGGACTGACGATCGGAGCTACTCAGTTTACTTTGGGACTGGGCAATGGATAAAATGGGGAATTATCCATTATTTTTCTTGCTTTGGGGGGTACATGTGTGTATGTCTATGTTGTATGTTTGTATGTCTGTGTGTCTTTGTTGTTTGTTTGTTTGTTTGTTTGTTTGCCCTGTTATATGTTTTTCTTATCAGGTGTAGGGGTGCAACAGAATTCAATTATGGGAAACTTTATTTTAGGGGAAATGGAAATGAGTGAACTAATAAAATGTGTAAACATTCTGAGGCCTCATGGTTTATGGAATTAAGGACAATGAAGTTGGGATAATTAGTTATAACTGCAATGGCCTTGCAGAAAACAGAAAGAGAAAAACCATATTTATGTGGCTAAAAAGTAAACCGCAAGATATTTTTTGCCTTCAAGAAACTCAACAAATACAGACGAAGAAAAATGGAAAAAAGAGGGGGATGGTCCTATTTTTTTCACATGGCAACAGTAATTCAAAAGGTGTTATGATATTGGTAAAGAAACATTTCAATTTCCAATTAGGATCAATAGAAAAGGATACGCACGGACGCTGGCTCATTCTTAGTTTAACAATTCAAACACAAGGAATCTGTCTGGTGAATCTGTATGGGCCAAATGTAGATGAACCTTTGTTTTTGATGAGATTGGTAACAGATTATTGGAACAACAGGGGGAAATGATTATAGGAGGGGATTTTAATGTTGCCTTAGACAAATCATTAGATAGAAAAGGAAATACTTCAATAAATTACCATCCTCAGTCTTTACAAAAGATCAATAACATTATGGATACTTTCGATTTAACTGATATCTGGAGATTTGAAAACCCCAAATTTACAAGATACACATGGAGAAGACAGAATCAACAAGCCGTATTGATTATTCTCTGATTTCATTCTCCCTGATAAATAAAGTTACAACATCATCAATAAAAGACAAATTATGTTCAGACCATAACTGTATAGGTTTAAATTTTGTAACAGAAGAAAGTATACGTGGATGTGGATATTGGAAATTCAATCAAATGCTTCTCCAAGATGGTGAATTTATTGAAAAAACGAAAGTTTTCATTAATGATTTTGTTAAATTTAAAGAAGCATCTTCAAACCCACTTATAGTGTGGGAAGAGCTTAAATGTAGTTTTAGGGGACATGCTTTTGCCTATTCATCATGGAAAAGAAAAAAATTTAAATAAAGGAATTAGAATTTAAGAAGGATATTGAAGAACTACAACAAAAAGTAGATCAAGATATAAATTCAACAAATGAGCTTCTTGACGCTCTAATGGCCAAACAGGAGGAGTTGACTGATCTGGTAGAAAATAGTTTAATAAAAATCTACGACCTTAAAAGAACGACCTGGATGAAAAAAGGTGAAAAATGCTCTAAATTTTTTCTGAACCTTCAAATGAAAAATCATTCTAAAAAGAATATATGTAAAATAGTTACAAATAATGGAAGTATATTATCTACACAATCTACAATATTAAAAGAAATCGTAAATTACTATAAAAATATTTGCTCACATCAGGTAACTCCTCTTGATACTGAAGATTTCTTCCCAAAAAAATTTGATGGAAAACAAAGTGAATTAGAAAAACATCTGTGTGAAGGCCTCATAAGTGAGGAAGAACTTTCTGACGCTGTCATGTCCTTTCAACAAGGGAAAACCCCAGAATAGATGGAATTTTATACCTATTGAATTTTATCAAACATTTTTCAAAGAAATCAAGAAACCATTCCTCTTGAGTTTTAATTACTCATACAGAATGGGGTATTTGACTGACTCCCAAAAAGAAGGTCTCATTTCACTGTTATTGAAACAAGAATCAAATGGTCAATACAAAGACCCAGTATATTTAAAGAACTGGAGACCTGTTACTCTCCAGTGTTATGATGCAAAAATACTGGCAAAATGTTTAGCTCTAAGACTTAAATCCATTTTGCCAAACATCATTCACCAGGATCAATCTGCTTCTTACATGGTAGAAATACAGGTAATAACATTAAACAGCTGTTGGAAATAATTGAAAATTATAATACAGAGAATAAAAAAGGACTAATTTTTGTTGCAGATCTAGAAAAGGCATTTGATCAGATAAATCTAGAGTTTATATGTAAAAGTCTTTCTTTTTTTTAACTTTGGTGATTCTCTAATAAATTGGGTTAAAACATTGTATAACAAAACAAATAGTAGAATTATCAATAATGGACACATCTCAGAGTCAGTCCCCCTTATAAGAGGCCTAAAACAAGGATGTCCGTTGTCGCCATACTTATTTATTATTGCAATGGAAATATTAGCTATTAAAGTTAGATTGGATAAAAATATAAAAGGGTTAATTAATAACAACATAGAAACTAAAATATCAATGTTTGCTGACGACACGAACGTCCTTATTTGCCCTAAACCTCATTATGTACAAAATCTATTGGACCTTTTGGAATCCTTTTCCCAACAATCTGGACTAAAATTGAATTATAATAAGTGTAAAATGTTGAGGATTGGCAGTTTAAAAGGTACAAAGTTTACCATGGATTGTAAAGTACCTGTTGTTTGGACTGATGGGCCAATAAATGTACTCGGAGTTGTTATCCCAGAGAACCTTGAAGACCTATGTTCAGTTAATTATAGTAATAAATTAAGAAAAATTGATAAAATTGTTCAATTATGGAAAGGGAAATTTTTGACCTTATATGGGAAAGTATCTATTATTAATTCTATTATTGTTCCTCAATGTATATATCTATTTATGTCATTACCATCTCCTTCACAAAACTTCTTTAAAACCTATGAACAGAAGATCTTTGACTTTGTTTGGGAGAACAAACCAGAGAAGATTCAGAGGGGTTTTGTACAATGATTATAACTGTGGGGGTTTTAAACTGCTTCATTTAGAAGCTTTATGTTTCTCTCTAAAAGCATCAATGGTTCAAAACTTTATTTAAATACAGAGTGGTACACGAGCATTTTGTTGGACAAAAAACACTTACTATGGCAGCAAAAACTGTATCCCTTTTTGCAACTGATGCCCTCCCACTTTCTATATGTAGATAATTTGATTGGAAATAGATGTAGCTTTATAAAAGAATGTCTGCATGCTTGGTGGCGCTTCCAATTTCATAAACCAGAGAAAAAAGAGACGACATCCTACAACAGATCATATGGTACAATTCAAATATTGTGATAGATAGGAAACCTTTCTTTTGGAAAGAAATGTTTGAAAAGGGTATTATTTTTGTAAATGATCTAACCAATGAAAAAGGTAAGATCATGAAATATGAAGAATTTACAAATGTATATGGTAATGTTTGTCCGCGTTACTCGTATAATCAAATAATTACAGCTCTG